AAAGAAAGAATTCATTCACTGAGACAAGGCGGCCGCACTTGCTGAATCTTTGTGCTTCTTTGACGTGGCGTGCTGTGTTAACGCTTTCACGTCATCATAAGCCACTGTGAACGTAGTTTTACACAATTTGCAGTAGCCCTTTGTGTTGTCTTCGTCACACTTATGTAACCAAGATAATCGCCATTCAGCCAGTCAACATTCAACATTATAGTAGCAAGTTCTTCTCACATTCTTCGGTGGAGCTACAGCACTAGTCGATGCTTCTTCGTCATCCATATTATTATAAAAACCAACCACACACAACACAAATAAAACAGCAAAACAGGAAATATTTGTTGTAACAATAGCGTCGATATTTTATTGGGAGCGACCGCGGCTTTTCTCACTTCACAGTGAAATACATACTATGATAATATAATAATGAAAATACGTAAAGTATACGGGCGGGGCGGGGTGGCAGACAAGCGGTGGCGTGTCCTAAGAAACGCTCGTGTTGTTCGGTAGAAATAATGAACGATTCTTTTATTACCGGACAATCTATTGTCCGGTTTACCAAGAATTTTGTGACCGGATACGCATAAAGAAAACCCGATTGTCCGGTTTTCGACCGCACATCTGGCATCCATAATGCTTAATGACAACAAAAGGTTTTAGATATATCATTCTTTAAGTTACCGAAGGATTTTAGTCGGAAGTTGTGAAAGGTGAATTTATTTCATATTTTATTTGTTACATAGATACTTATAGCTGAAAAGAATTAAATAAAAAGTAATACCTGAGTACTTTAATAAAAAACTTAGTCGAAATTTATTTCACTATCCAAGTATCTACTCACATACCTATACTTATCTTTTGTAATTGTAATATTTTAAGTTATAATAATACAAAATACTGAAATTAAAACTTAGCTCACCAACAAGATTTCAACTAAGTAAAACACGATCACATTTTCGTTAGGAATCGTATTTCTGGTTTATTTGTTGTTTACACTATCCACCTATATAGAAGATATAGGTAGATAGTGTAAACAACAAATAAAACAGAAATAATTCTGAACCAAGCATCGCGATTCCCGGCGAATGGCCTTGCAAGTTGCATGCGTTGGGCATCACAGAACCACGGTAATATTATCTATACAGTATTCCAACTTCATACAAACGGACGAAGCGAGAGCAATGCCTACGCGCCTCGATCTCGGCATGCAGACAGTCGAGACTGTGCCGCAGTGATGATTTTGTGAAATATATAAAAAAATGGAGGAAATAAATAATAGAGTAGAAATAAAGAAATAATAAATCTGAACTTCATTTAAAAATAAACATATAAATTGTAAAGTAGCTGCAGGTATCTATAACCAATTAATAGATATTCCTCTTCTCCACGTTGTCCATGTTTCTCAAAACAATTTTTAATTTATATTATTTTTAGCTTTATATTAGAAAGCGGATTTTTATATTTAAAAATCTAATAATAAAGCATTTCGTAAGTCTCAGTTTTCGTGCGCAAATTTATTTAACCGATTTGTTATTTAAACATAAACATGGTTTTTTAATTAAATCTACCAATCAAAAAACGACACGCATTTTTATTGAACAATGATTCAATTCACAAAGTACCTATTTTATTTGTTTGTATAAAAAGTATATTTATAATCATAAAACTAAATGGAAACACAAAGTAGGCAAATGTAAAAATGCTGGAGGCAGGCAGCCCTATCACATGTTTACGTGCCTCACGGCTGTAGGCATTTATTTGAAAGATACGGCCGAGTTACAATACTGTATAGATAATATTACCGTGACAGAACTCACATATGAGCGAAAATATGGTCAGTCGATTATAGTTAGAATAGGTAATTCACCTAAGTAATTTAATTATCATTTCGCAATATATTTTTTTACTCTATATTGACAGCCCTTAGTAATCACGAAAAGAACGCCGTAACGCAGGAAGGGGAAAATATGCAAAGTAATACGGACACTCGCGCGCAGCGATAAAGTTTTATTAAGCTTGCGTGCTAGATTTATCTAATTAATAACAGTTATGTAGGCTATTAAATATCGGCAAGCAGTTCAACATCAAAGGGGTGCGACTTCTGTACGTATTACTATTATTTATTCTGTGCTAAATCGCGGAGCGAGACAGGCCTGATACTACCACAGAATAAAAAATAGTTCACTGGTTTTGATTGGTACTACTACTAAGGAGATTAAAAAAGCTACATTTTTTTTAAATACTGGGTTGTTGCATAAGTCTGCAATTACCTCTAAATAACTATGGAAAATCGCCTTCTGAATATACCATCTTCGTCCATCAATTAAGAATTCCCAAACAAAAATATTCCTCACATTTTGATTGAATGAATATGTTCAGGTTCTCTACAACATACTTGTAATTGTTAAATTGTTTGTCATTAAAATAATTCTGTGGTGACTGGAAAATGTGAAAATTTGTCACTGTGAGAACCCGTAACGGTACCCGTAACGTAACCCGTAAATTTATGTTATATCTTGTAGGGTTTATAGGGTCAATAAACGTGGTTACTTTTTGGGCGGTTGTCCTTAGTATATTTTGTAAAGATTTTTGTGTTAACTCTTCAATGTACATTTGCTTTGTCATCGTTTGATTTTTGTGCGTCAATTTTAACATATAACAACTCTTTACATTTACTATTACTATATTAATTACTCTTTTAGCTTCCCACCAAACACAACAATACTTCTTGACCCTAACTTGGTTTTGGGGTAGATGTGCTTTTGCTTTTATCCACCGGAGTTGTCATTTGTCGAAACTAAAAGAAGCATAAAGCTCAAGGTCGGAAGTTTGCACGATAAGAATTTGGAAGGGCCTGTAGCCCTTCAAATTCTTATCGTGAAACTCGACTTTAGAAGCTTTCCAATCATTTAATTGATTCATGTAACAACCCAATACACTGATATTAATAAAGTGTAGAGTATAAGGAGGACCTTCTCATAGACATGGGATCTTCGATCAATGATTATACTAGATTAAGGATCAGGAACAAAACTAAGTCGCTTAAGTGGCCAAGTTTGCAAATACGTAAACATCTATATTTCTTACTATGAAATATAGAAAAAAGATTAAAAATATTAACAACTTAGTTTATTATTAAACCTTATCACTCAAACATAAAGTTTAAATACTATTGCGAAATATGTTTATTTAAGTTATGGCATCCGACAAAGATATCGCTTGAATATAAAAAGTCGTAAGTACACAAATATTTATTCTAAAATGAAACTTAAAGTTTAAGTGATAAGGTTAAAAATATTATGTTACCGTAAAATGTGGCAACATTACCATATTTTTAGAAAGAAATCTATGTACTTCTTTATCTATTAGACGCAAGAATATGAAACTTTTGTTATACACTTATTATATGTTTGTCTTACGTTTTTTGCTATTTATATTACACAAAACTCATTAATTTAAGCTGTAGCCGTAAATTAAGAATGTGGGTAAAATTGACACATTTTTGGTAACTTTACCTATGCATTGTATTCCGTTATTATTGCGTACAAAATAATTCATTGGGCAAAGATGACAAAAAATACGGCCGTTAGTTTTTTATACTGAAACAGAAAAGAAGAAAAGTAGGTTAAAAAGTGGCAATACCATCAACAGGTAAAGTTGCCAAGGGATTTATTGCAATTTACATACAAATATGATTTGACTCATAGGGTTGTCAAAAAACGGGAACAACAAACTGTTTTTTGCAATATACCTAATTATACATAAGATATTTTTATATTTTGAAAAAGGGGAAAACAATATTTAAATGCAAAACAAAAAAAAAATACTTTTGTTTCTTTATTGTAAAGCTAAAAGTGAAAATAAAAATGGCACATTTTTGTACTTCTTAGTTCAGGCTCATCTTTTAAACTAAATAGTAGTAGGAACTAGTAAAAAGAGTCTTAATCACTTTTACTTTTTTTTAACTATAACAAATGGTAAGGCCATTTGTTATAGTTAAAAAAAAGTAAAGTAAAAATTAATCTTAAAAACTATAGGACCCGAAGTTTAAATGGCAAAGGAAAATACAAGGGACAAAACCAATTAAAATTTAATCAAATTAAATATTATCCTCCTCGTTCATAAGAACATATTTTTCAGGATATTCAGGATTTTACTATATGATCTTCTGGTAGATAATTATCTTCATCCGCTTTTTTAGGCATGAGAAACTCAATACCATCCTTCTTGCGTGTTATTTTATAGTACGAAACTGAATATATTTTTTCGTGTCTGTTAACATGCATGATAATGCCGACGAAATACTTCCATTTTCGTGAATAATATCTCGTTAAGATTGTGTCTCCTTCATTCCAGCTAACTCGATGGAGTTAGCTGGGATGAAGGGACCAATCTAGGAAGGAGTACTATATTTATCTGTTTTTCTTCTGATTCATCCTTTTTTTTCTTTAGAAATTCCTTTTTATTTATTTTATTCTTAGTCTTAGTTTCATTTTGTGTGTCTTTTTTGTATCTTTCTGTTGTCCTGTCTCAAACTCATTTTCTGTTTCTTTCTGTTTCTCTATGGAATAGTTTTCTTGTTTTGTGTCCTTTTGTTTTTCTTTCTTAGTTTCATTCTCAGTTTCTTTCTCTATGTAATCATTCCCTGTGATTTCCTTTTTCTTTTTTGTGTCTTTTTGTTTTTCTTTCGCAGTCTTATTTTCTTTGTTTTCTTGTTTCTCTTGTTTATCTTGTCTTCTTTATCATTATTTTGTTTTTCTAGATGTGTCTCAATTTTATTCTGCTTTATTTGCTGTTTTGCTCTGTCATTCTTGTTTTCCATGTATTCTATATTTGCTATTTCCTCAAATATTCTGCATTCAATTGTGTCTATTCTTTTTTTTACGTCGTAATCAATCTCATCATCTAAATCTTCTGAGTCATATATTTCTATTTCACTATGAACACTATATTCTGAATCTTCTGTGGTGGTTGACCCAATGTGCTTGCATCTTTTTGCCGGTTTTTTATTTTTTGAAGTTTTTTTCTTTTAGAGATCGCTTGCGTCGCTTAATTTGGTTTACTGTTGCTTCGTTAAATTTAATTGAATTTTCATCGTGGGAAATATCATCTTCGTTTAAATTTCCACAAATATTTACTTGGGTAGCGGCTAGTTTCCCACTGAACTCATCAAGTTTTGTATCAGGTGTTCTAGCATCAAGTATATATCCCTCTTCAGACGTTATCAGATCAAAGTCTTCTTTAGTTTTTGCTTCATTTTCTAATCTATTTTCCTTTGGTTTTTTGTTGTCTGTTTCAACTTGATTAAGCTCTGATGTACGGATTGATTTTCCTGGCTGGACGTTTAACTTTTTGTTTCTTCCTTTTTTCATTTCATTAGGTTTCCTATTGTCTTTTAAATAATCAAGTAATAATTGACCCACAGATAAAATTGTCTCATTTGGAAGACATTCGGGATTTTTTTTGTACACTTGTTGAGGATTGAATCGAACGATAACTTTTAGCTCTGAATCCACTCACGATATTTTCTTTCTTTTTCATGTTAACTTCATCCATCACCTTTGCAAGCAGAGGTGGAAAATGGGTCTTATTAAGCCCAGCTTGCTTCGGATTTTCAATCTTGTAAGTAGTTAAAAATTTTCGCCAAACCTTTTTCAAGGGGCCAAAGAAAGCTACATCCAGCGGTTGAGTCAGATGAGTCGAATTTGGTGGCAGAAGCACAAATCGAATATTATATTTTTCACATAATTCTATGACTTCCGTATTGATGTGGCTGGAAAGGTTATCCCCAATCACGACCTTTGGACCTTCTAGTTTGCGTGCCCATGGCACAATTATGGTGTTAAACCAGTCAAGAAACGTTATTGAATTGAACCAACCACTTTTGGTTCGATTAAACCGCGCATTTTCAGATCCTCCTTCGACCCATTGACGCCACATGGTCTCTGCCTTATAAACAACGTATGGAGGCATCACTGATCCGTTGGCTGTAGCTGCAGACATTACTGATATACAGCCTTTAGAACTGTTCATTACGCGTTCCGGATACTTAGTACCACGACGAAAAATACATTTAGCAGAACCGGGGTCGTCGCTGAAATTTGTTTCATCATAATTCACAATGTGTGTTGGAGGCACGTTTTCCAGTACAGACTCAATATTATTGAAAAACTGCTGAAATTCTGACAGTGTTTTTTCTGCTCTAGCCCTTTTGATGTTCTGTACTGCTTTCAGACTAGTTTGTTGCGGTAGCAGTAATTTTTCTTTAACTATTATGGACCAGAATTCGGAGATCAAGTTGCGTCAGCGGAGCTCCGTAGTCTGAGGCCAAAATAAGAACTTTCACAAAGTTAAGTTCTTCTTCTGGTGTCAATTTGAAGGTGGCCCTGGTTTGTCAGAATGAATTTTTTTAACTTTTTGTTCAATAGTTCTTCTTGGTATGCTAAAGGATTTTCCGGCCTCGTAAGAAGTCATTCTTTTTGTTTCCACCATCTCAATAGCTAAGGCCATCATCTCGTCGGTGTAATTTTTATAGGGCCTTGCCCCAAGTTTTCTTCTGTCTCGTTTTTTTGGGGGCATTCTGAAACAAAAAGATACTTACCAGATAAGCACACATAAGCGTAAAGCATTCACAAAGTTCCCGAGAAGCCCGTCATGATCAGCCAGATCATGGGAGCATTTTGTCATTTGAAACTACTTTGTTCTAAAAGTTTTTCATCATGAAAATAATCGAAGTTATTAATGCACTTTAATGCGTTAGTAGCGCGGGATGTTCATATTATACACATACCTACATATATAAAAACAAAACATTCACACGTATCAAACAAAGCACGCACATATACATGAAATACTTAATTTATGCCAACCCTAGCTGTAGGTAAAGTTACCACAAAGCAGTCGGTGTCAACTTTACCTAACCTCAAACATCATTACCTATACCAATATTCCAATGAAAAAAGAAAGTAGCGATTAAACAATATAACAGCTGCAATCCCGACCATTTCCTACATACAATATCAAAATTACACTCACCTCTCACAAGTAGTTTAAACTCTGAAGACACAATTTCACCACAATTGTTGGACGACGCTTTCACAGGAACACACAATGAACAGCCATATTGAAATAATCGTCAGTGTTACCAGTAAGAATATTATAAAAAATGTTACCCTACGCTATTGAAATAATATTAAAAAAATAATATAATATTAACTTTAAGTAAAATACCTACAATATGGAAATCTTGCCACGGGTTTGGTAATGTTGCCACGTTCTACGGTAACAATTTCGTGCTTACTCTATTTTATTTTTTGATAGTTTTTGAAGCGCTTATCGGGAATCTAGTAGTATTATTGATCGAAGCATGGGATCGAAACTGAGAGTGTTCGCTATTATATATCAATTCAATCAATGACGGGTATTCCCATGGATGCACCTACTGTCACTGTCCTTAAACACGATTTTTTACGTTAGCACTCCTTCTATACACGTTCAATAAAGAGTATTATTAATGGCTAAACCTATTTATTTAATCGTTTATATAAATAAAAAATTATGTTGCATGCTTATCACATAGTTTTGACAAACATCTTCCATTTTAAAGTCAAATAAAAAGCGTTGTAAATGAAAGACTAACGTAACGTAGTCAAGTAAAAACTTGAGATAATGGAAAAGAAATTAAGAAGCATAAGGCAGATCGTGTTGTATAAATTATTAAGTTAAAAAATAGTGTGGCCTTGAAAAGTCTAAAAGGAGTTTATAATACGACTGCGACGTTCTCGTTGTTGTTTATACCGTTTAAAAGCAAAAAGGGGCCATTAATTAATTATGTAAGGGTCCCAAGGGAGAGGTGTTAAAATCTGTACATGCCCTTATCTTCGAGGGGGCGAGGGATAAAACCGTAAAACCCATTTTTACGTAATATTTTGTAAGTTGAAATTTAATATTAGTAATCTAGTTCCACTTCGGATGCCGAATGTTTTTCTTCATTCTATAACGTACACTTAGATTTAGGTACATCTTATTTTACAATTGTTTATTATTTATTAAATTTATTAAATTGTGTTCAATTTTATCCATTTTAAATGTTATAAATAATAGGATGTTAATACTTACTTTTAATTATAATAATGATATTCCAAATACTATGTACATACTGTCTCAAATAGTTGTCTAAAATTAATAAATTGGTAATCTATAAATATCTGATAAATATAGGCCGTCAACGTCGTGCAGTCCGCGCCCACGGGGTACAGAGTGGACGGGGACGAGGTAGCACGCAGCTCGTGCACGAGGCCACGCCTACGGCTACACACTAGGGATTTGGGATCGAGTTATCTTGAGATTATTATGGATATATTTATATTTATTACGAAATATTGTGTGATGTAGTGATGAATACGATATAATATTAAATCACTTTATATTATAAAAAAGTCCCCCGCCGCGTCTGTCTGTATGATAAACTCAAAAACTACTGAACGGATTTTAGTGCGGTTTTCTCCAATAGACGCCAGTGATTCATGTGGAAGCTTTTAATATACTTAGGTATCATCCCCGCAGGTTCTTGCAGCCCGCACTGCGCAAATAGGCATAATACATGTACATATGTATACGTTATACACAATTTCTTTTGATTGTCGTCCAATCAATCGGTTTGCTCATCTTCGGATCGTAATCTCGTGTGCGCCAAGTACACAAGTAACCGTTGCAAGCAACCACCGGCGCACACACCGGTGACTGGCGCTCCGGAGCACGCGACGTGCTCGCTCGCCCTCCCGCATACCGCTCGCTTCCCCTTTGAGACTTTAAAAAACAAAAATCTTTGATTTATGCCAAACTATGAGTTTTAGTGTTACTGATCCTTTCTAACAACATTTTATAATGAATTCTGAAAAACGAGATAGAATCTTAAGTAAGAAAAGGGAGGGAGAAGAGGCTTCAAAAATTGCCAAAATCAGCCTTACGTAATTAATGAATGGCCCCCAATACTTTAAATCCTAAGTAAGTTACACATTTACTAAAATGTTTCTAAAATAATTATATTCGACTGAATCGAAAGCCTATTTATGGCTAATTGATGTAAATAACACTAACAGTTACCAGACTCAGGGTTATTAATTTCTTTATAGAAAAGTAGATTTATAAAATTTGTAACGAGTTAATAATTTTGTAATAAAATATTTTTAAATGAATTTTTTTAATTTTATTTTATATTGCTGTTCTGGAGGTTAAGTATGCATTAAGAGGATTGTAAAGCTGTCAATTGTATACAAAAAGCGATAACGTTATATACTCGTAGTTTAATTTTCATAATTTTGGGAAATGTAGATATAATCCGGTCCGCACATATTTATTTTAAGGAAATGTTGCTTACGATATAAGTTATTAGCATCTAAATATCTATATTTTTGACTTAAAAACTTCCTCGAGCTTTCTTTTTTTAAGTTAAACTAAACTGAATTACTGAAAAAGAAAAACGTACAGACCTAACTTAAAGCATACTGAATTTAATGTGACCAAAATTGTCTCATTTCGTAAAGGTTTTGGAGGAAGGGTGTGAAAACCTATCGCCCGAAACAATATTTCAAAAAGAAAATGGAGGCAATTACTTCCAACATTCGCAACTCTATCGCTCCGGAGGGAGTGATGTGAAAATACTTGCTTGCGCCGTGTATTGGCACTTCACAATGCCTTTAAGTCTACTACTGATTTACAGCGTATAAGAATAGAAAAGTTACAAGATGAACTATAAATGTAGACTAAGGGAAAAACTTTAGAATATTTGTATACTCATCTCTAGGGAATTCTATGGAAAATCCAAATATATAAATGTATTATTAGTTGTAGTTGTAGTTTTCATATAAAATCACCGAGAAATTTGCGAAAGAAGATATATTTTTCCACTCAACACGGTATCGTGCCCAGTGGTCCACCAGACGTGGGGTGATAGCGCGCGCAGGGCGCAACAGTTGAGGGGTTATAGTAGGCTTAAAATAATATTTGTAGAAAAGTGCCATCTATAATAAGCTTTTACACAAATTATTATAACTTTTACAATAACAGTCGACAGCGGGAGGCACTGACAAAATTGTCCCCTATACGGTCGAAGAGGTTATGTTGCAGTAGTGAACGGAAGAGTCGGGAATGAACGCCCCGATAGACAAAACTGGCAATATATTGAAGATGGGCCAGATTAAAAGTACCCTTACCAGTTGTGGCCCTAGCAACATTTTGAGGTGATGCGATATCTCATAGTGGCACCCCTCTAAATAAAAAACCTTAGTGTTCCTCTACTATGCAGTTGCTTATTCGTGTTAAATAGTATTAGACCTATCATAGATCTACAGGTATTGCTGCGTAATCTCGTTTGATAACTTTTATTTAAACTGTTCTTCTGCATTCAGTGTTAAAAAGATAAAAGAGCTACCAACAACTTTTTCTTGCTTATGAGCTTAGAGTTATTTTATTAATTTAGTAGAAACGTACGTAATTTTTTAAATGTTTTAATGTAGTTACTAAAACTTCGTTTCCGTTTAGCGACAGTTATAGTACAGGTATAGTCACCAAGATACGAAATGCTGTCTACACATTCGGGAAAAATATCATGCCAATCGTAATTTTTAATAAGTCTGAGAATTTTATGTGGCTCTGCTGATTAATAAAGACCTATAAATAATGGGTTCCAGCTCATAAGTTCCTGAACCAATTCACAACTAGATAAATCACATCATGCCCATCTGTTCTACTGATTTGCAACTAAACACAATCTTTTTGACCTTTCAGGAATTGTTTTTATGTTTAAGTCTAGTAAACAATGCACTTTTAGTCGTATCAATCATAGAGTAAAAAATGTTCATTTTAAACAGTTCTTTAAGATCAGTTGGTGTCTCACCTACTGCTTCGTACACAAATAATATTTTCTTTCTTCGGGATAGGCCTGGCTTAAAAATTTGATCTATCTGTTACTAGAGCAGATGAAAAGGCTCAGTACTGTTTCA